TTGAAAAAATTCGATCCCCCAAAATTGTCGCGTTCGCGGCGTTGCTTCTCGCGATCGCGGTACTCGGTGGGGCGCTTCCGGAAAGGAGAATACTATTTTAAGAAAAACACTCTTTATTAAGCCAACGATACATCGGCACAGAAACGCATCCGACCGCCGCGGAATCTGGCTGTGAAAATCACAAAAACAACCGGAGAACGATGCGTTGCCAAGGGCCGATCCTCACTTAAAACTCTCATTGATTATATTGATTGATCCTCGGGGGCAGTGCCGAGCGGAACACCGCACGGCCGCAACAATATATATTATATTATATTTAAACAGCACAAAATCTAAAGTCGGGTCATAAGACGTCTTTTAGATTATTCCATAGGAAGTGTCTTAGAAACGTCTTATGGCTCGATTTTAAGCCAATTCTACAATTGCGTAAACGTAGTTGTAAACGTAATTATAAATAATTGATTGTGGATCAATTTTTTGTGATTAACCAATTACAGTCAATTATTTATTTACAACTACGCTTACAACTAGGTTTACATAAATGTAAAATCGGTTTTTGAGTTTGTGTTCTCTGGAGATATGTAATCATAAAATTATAAATATAAATGTATATACATACTTTTATTGTCATTATCTAATATAATACGGGTGCACTTGTGTTTTTTGTCATACATTCAGCAAAATAAATAGGATCTGCAAACATAAATAAAGTTATGATCAGTAAATGGTTAAACTAATACAAGTAACTCAATATAAATGAGTATTTTTCAATATTGCATGGATTTCTGTATCCGGTATCCGTAATCATATAGCGAGAATTATATTCATATTCTTCATCGTGTACCTTAATCATAGCTATTACACATCTAAAAAATGGCGCCAATTGATACATTGATAACGTGTTGTGCTCACTGAGCGTATTTCAAAACCGCTCAGAGAAATAGCGTCCGCTCACTAAACATGTTGAGGCGCTCACTGATCAAGTTCAGCAAACGTTCTTGCAACAGCAACTATTGTGAACAACTATTGTGAAATGCAGCTTTATTCTATTATTTATAACGCATTCACACTGGGTTTCGGTCTGGTCTCGCTCCGCTCTTATTCTAGCAACAATCCTTCGAAGAATATTTTACCGGA